CTCTCCCTCTCCCTCTCCCTCTCCCTGTCTCTCCATTCCTGTAGGAATCATGGTAGAAATCATTTTGCAGGGACTTTGGGCTTTGTGTCTTGCTCTGTTCTCTGAGTCAGTGACTTCTGGGAGTTCATGATTCATCAGTCATTGAACCATTTTTGCTCCAATGCTCATGTCCGGTCTGCTCTGCTTTTGTGTTTTTCCCGCTCAAGTCATTACCATCAATATCTCTTCACAGTGGGATTAAGTTGTTGAGTTGATTAGATAACCCCCCTTTGCTGGTGGAAAAATCAGACTTCGTGTCGAAAATTCAGTTTCCACTCCTTGTGAAACAGGCCACATAGATCTTCTACACACCTGCTGAATCCGTACAAACATGCAGTTTATTATTAATTATAGAGCTTAAGCCTTTAGCTCATGCTTCGGGACTTCAAAACCATGATTCCTACTTCATCTGAAGCTATAAATATTTAAACTTTGGCAATGAATCTTAAAGAAAACATAGAATGATTTATTCTCTGAGACCACTGTTAAGAACTTTGGCATGAAGCATTTTTCTTGCATTTGTAAAACAAGCCAGCTTCTCAGCTCATGCACATTACTGAGATGAATGACATAGGACTATTGTGACTCTGCATAAAAATATTACTAACCTCAGATCTTAGAGAGGCAGGCCCGGGATGGGCTGAAATAAATATACTAGCAACATCCAAAATTACAGAGAGAGCTGGAGAAATGTTTCTGCCAACATGCTACATGATTTATTACTGAAAATAGTTCCCACATCTGGAAAAAAATATTTTAAATCTACACTTGAGGTAAACTGAGGGCCTACTGAAATTTCTTAGTTATTATTAGAAGAGCCCTATGGCATTTCTCTAATTTGAGATTCTAACTATAGTGTCATACCATATATATACCATAAAACACATACATAAAATAAAAATGGACAACAATGCCCAAATGGAGATGTGACTATGTGTGACCTAAAAGGCTCATAACTAGTGATGGGACTAATGTCTCAATTACCAGTCACTCATCAAGCTTG